ACAAGGGTGGGGAAAAAGAAAGAGGGCATTACGATTAGCATGTATAGTGCGTGGGGGGCACGGGGAGGGCTGTGCAACACAGAGAAGACAAGTAGTGATTTTACAGCATCTTACTACACAGATGGACAGTGACTGTGAAGGGGTATGTGGGGGGGACTTGGTGAGGGGGGGAGCCTAGTAAACATAATGTTCTTTCTGTAATTGTAGATTAATGATACCAAAATAAAAAATAAAAAACAAAACAAAACAAAAAGGAATGATACAGGTGTACATTCTATTTTCAAAACTGCTTTTTTCCCTCAGTGAAGAAGGCAAGCCTCTGAATGCCATCTTTCAATCGAGCCAGACTGGACACCTGAGGCTGTCCTCCTGCCCTTGAGTCTCCCTCCTGCACTGCACTTGGGGACCAGAGTGGGCTTTGCTGTGGAATCACTGGCCACTCCTTAGGGGGTCTCTTGTCAATGTGAGGCTACTTTAAGGACTTACACCCACACCACGGGTGTGGAATGGAGTGTGTACCAGCTTTCTGAAAGATTGATATCTTCACACCTGGCAGGTCTGCATCTGGAATGCACAGTCATGGATGTGATTATTTAGCTGCCAATATATGCACTGCAGAATTGTTTATAATAGCAAACAAAATGGAAAATATTCAATGTCCAAAGGTAGGAGATTGATTACAAAAGGCACTCTGATCCATACCTGAAGAACTTGGGGATTCCTAAAAGGCCATGGGGACAACCTCTCCACACAAAGTCAATCAGAAATATTAAGTGAAAAAATAGGTCTAAAAGAGTGTACGTCCATCACTCACTGGCTTTGATTGTCTGCTGTGCGCACCACAGTGGTCTAGGTCCTGGGATACAGGAATGGGAACAAACCTGTCTTCCATGAGGTCATGTTCTATTGAAGCAGGTAAGTCAATAGCAATTTAACATGTGCGCACACGCATGCACACACGATTGCACACACACTGATACACAAAAAACATGCACATACACAACACACCTTCATACACATGCTTGTAGACAAATGCACACAGAAACAACATTCATGGTTATGTGTGCACACATGCTCGTGCACACACAAAACATGCACACACAACACACTTGTATTCACACATGCTTGTGCACACACCCATGCACACTGATGCTCATGTACACAGGATTACTTCTGCACACACACGTACACACATAGTTGGTCCATTCCAGCTACTGTAACAAAATACTGCAGCCTGGGGTCTTGTAACTAACAGGTATGGATTTCTCACATTCCAGAGGCTAGAGTCCAAGATGGAGGTGCCCGTGGGCTGGGTGTCTGGTGAGGGGCTGCTTCCTGGTTCGTGGTCAGCCGTCTTGTTGGTCCTCACATGACAGAAGGGGTGGAGGTCTCTCTGGGGTCTTTTGTGTAAGGACACTAATATTCTGAGGGCCTCGCCTCCAAATGCCACCATGTTGGGGGTTAGGTCTCAACATGTGAACTTGGGGGGACACTGACACTCTATTACAAACACCAGCAGATGTCAGTCTCCAAAGGTAGAACTTTGGGTGTTTTTTTCAATCCTTTTTTATTTTTATTTTAGTGCTTTTACAGTAACGTATGTGACTAGTTAAAAAAAATAAAATAAAATGGTATAATAAAAGATGAGGAGTTAGCATCTCTGAACCACGCTCTCTCCCTCCCTCTCTTTACATCCAGGCTTCTGTCAGGCAATCTGATGATTTAATTTTGCTTTCAGCAAAAAATGCAAGTATCTTCATGGCATGGGCCTTTCATGCTTTGTCTATTAAAAGGATGTAAAAAGTAAACAGCATTTTAATTATGTAAATATTATTGGCTGCAGACCACGTCAGGAAGTGAAGTCCACAGAGAGAATAAAATGTGCTCCTTGGCCCTGGGCCTTGGTTGCAGAGCAAGAATGGGGGATATCTGTTCCCGACACCACTGGTTGACAAAACCGTACAGCTTTTTATTTACTTCCTGTTTAGACCACAACTTTCTGGAGCTGCTCTTTAGTGTTGCTTTTGTTTTTCCTGGGGCTTCTAACGATCTGTCCTCATTCTTATCGACAGAGGAAATATGTGGGTCCTCCTTTTGTTCCCCTTCATCCCGTCAGCTCCTGGACTGTACACTTTCCAAGGGGCCTCTGTGCACCTCTCTTCCAGGTTGGCCATGCAGCTGTCACCTGCAACCTCTGTCCCTTGTGCTCCTGCACTAACTCCCTCTTTCTAGAGCCCCACCATTTCCTCTTTCTTGGATGGTTTTGGATCTCCTAGAGTACAACTTAAGATTTTTCTCCCAGAAAGCACATAAACTTCCTGTGACCTTACATATCTGAAAACATCTTATTTTGGCTTCATCTGATGAACGTTTGGCTGAGCACAGGATTCTAAGTCATGTCATTTCTTCTCTGTGCTGAAGAAACCCATGCTCACTTTGTTCTACTACACTGGTTTAAGATTTTAATGTCATTATTATTTTTGTTCATTTGCAGAATACCCTTTTTTTTCTGTCAAAGCCCCTACCATTCCCTTGTCTTTGAGCATCTGAATTTTCATGAAGATGTAGGTGGGCTTGTGGGCTTTGTTTGTATTTCATTTGTTCTTCTTGGCAACTGGTAGGGACCCTTTTAACCTATGTTCTTAGCTTGGGGTGTATTCTTCTATTGTGTCTCGGATTTTTTGTCCTCACCTTCATTTTCTCTTTTGTTCCTTTTGCTGAACCCGCTGGAATGACCCATGCATACCCCTTTCTCTCATATGCCCCATCTTTTTTACTTCTTTACTACATTCTGGAAAAATTTATATTGATGCTAACTTTAAGATCTTCTATTAAACTTTTTTCACTCATCAAATGTTCTATGTCCAAGAAGCCATTGTCTTCTGATATTATTATTCATTAGAATTTTAAAGTTATTTTTGTTACCCTGGATTGCCTTCATTTTCTTTAAGATTTTGCTCTTAGTTTATCTTGGTCCTTTGGATTTTTTCCTTTGCTATTGGATTGTTTCAAATGTCTGATGGTCCCTGTTGTCTATTCATGATTTTTAACAAAGGACTTAGCTGACTATTAAGGTGAGCAATGTGAGCAGGTTAGTATTCTCAGTAGGTCTCTCCTTTGGAAAGTGGGGTAGGGTGCTGACCGAGAGCTCTAAGTTTGAAAGCCGGCAGGCAACTGGCAGGCTCAGCTTTAGGGTAGACAGAGAGGGTCTGGTGGGCAGGCATGTGCCTCCCCAGTGGCAAACAAGGAGGGCTTGGCTGTAGGTGGCAACCCTCATTTTAGAGTCCTGCTCCTATTCAAATAGGTTTCCAGTTTTATTAGAGGACTGTTCTCTATTTTTGGCTTAAGGACAAAGCATCCATGGAGCAGTTGTCCATTCGGTTGGGAGCAGGGATGGGAACCAGAGGCCCCACGGCTGCCTACACACCATTAAATTAGCTTTCTGAATGCTGGATTCTGGTCCTGTTCCCGCCCCCACCAGCTCCCCACTGAACCGGTCAGTCTGCGTGTCCCAGCTCCTCTGCCTGTTTTGAAGGACAAGGTTCTTCCTGTTAGCTTTATGCTGTCTTTCACTTTCAATTTTCCAGAAATCCATTAGAATCTCTGATTCTGCTTTCACCCCCATTCTCCATTTTTACAGATTTTTGTTTCCTGTGGATATCTTCTCACATTTCGCTGGCATCTGGGAAGAGCACGTGTTCTTGTTCCTCTATTGACTTAGAAGCCTTTATAGTCTTTCATTTTTCTGAATTTTCCAAATGAGTGTACATTATTACATTCATAAGAAAAATAACAAAAACAGCAACTCTTAAAATGGAAGGCATTTGGAATATCTTGTCAAGCATAAAAGAGCAGGCTCGTGTCAGTGTTTGGGACTGATGGTGATGATGTCTACCGGGAAGCGGCTTTCCCACAGCACTGCAGGCTGAACGAGGGACAGGCGGGAGAGTATTGCCTAGTGCCAGCACCTCACTGGCACTTCACGTGTTCCCAGGCTGAATCAGAATTGCTGTTAATGCAGGAGGGGTGTCCAAAGAACGCCTGCTGTTAAGCAGACATATCAGCCAGTGGCTTAAAATGGCAGGTGTTTGCACTTGCCCTTGGTGGCTTCTGGTCTTACTCAATCACTCATGCATAGCCAGACAGCTGGTGTTGATGGCCTCACTTACCTGGTGCGGGTTGAGGCACAGGAATGGCTGGCCGAGTGTCCCTGGTCATCGCCCAGGCCCACTTGGGCTGCTCCCGTGGGACTGCATGCAGGGCTTCCGAGAGCAGCAAAAGAGGACACCGCAAGGTCGCGGTCAAGATAGGCAGTCATGGGCACCAGCCCCCGTGCTCACAGAGGGTCACAGGACCAGCCCGGAGCCTCACAGTAGAGAGCTGAACCCCACAGCCTGATGGAAGGAGAGGCACAGTACAGTGGCAGCTTTTCCAACCACCTGTCAGTAATGCAATCTTTTAATTCTGATTTTATGTTTCCCAAAGGCTTCTGAAGACCCAATCTCTAGAATGGTTCTACAATAGCGTGAAGAGCCGCTTCAGGCACTTTGGCAGCGCCAAGGTCCTGAAGAACCTGTACCGGAAGCACCGGCTGGAGAGCGGCACGTGCCTCGACCTCCTAGGTACGCTGCTGCCCGCAGCCCTGGGAGGCTCCGGTGGGCAGTGGGGTAGGGGAAGGCTGGGCTTGGAGGCCCTGCATACGGGGGCACACTTCATTTGGGACAAAGTTGCTTAAATATATGGCTCTACTGAGGAGCAGAAATAAGACAGATATCAAGGATTCTGTTAAGTGCTCTGGTTCCGCATCACGCCTGGTTTGGACTTCAAGAGCTGGGGGGACCAAAGGACTGCTGCAGATTGTGGACATTTTAACTCTAGACCACTAGAAATGAAAGATTCTTGATCATCTTCCCCCAGTGATTAAAATAATGGAAAGTCATCTCTGGTTGTGTAGACTGTCTGCTCTCAGAGGACGTGCCCTCCACTCCCCTTCCTTCCGACCCCGACGTCATTCATACCCAGGCCAGAGTGTGATGTAGTGGGGAAGTTGTAGGAGAATCAGCTCCCTCCCAAGAACCTGGAGGGGGGATTTTACCAGTGCTTCTTGCTGGAGTAAGACGAGCATGTAGCTGGAATGAGGAATTGCATTTTTAGCTGTTACCAGCCAGGAGCAAGAAATGCTCATTGGAATATGAACGCCAGTGTCCTTCAAAGCTGTTTTTTCTGTCTAGAGGCAGATTTTTTTTCATCACTTTGCTGACACAGCTAAATGCTTTTTATCCACAAGAAAGAGGGAAGGGGAAAAAATGCCACCCATCTCATTTGGAGCTTTCTCACTCATTATTTTACATTGCTGTATTCTCAATAAAGATTTCAGTTGTGTCTCATCTAAAATTATGCCAGGCACTGAGGCAGGAGGAAACTGGGATGAAGGCCTTAAACACAGAGGCATTAGAGCCTTTGTGGTAGTTTTAAAATGTCTGTCTTGCAACCTACTCGGGAAGCCTACAGCTGGGAGAAGTCAAGCCCAAGGTCTCCATATATTATCTTCTCTTTGCTGATTCTTCTAAAATTTTTCTCTAGAAATGGAGGTGAAAAAGAAGTAAAGCTTAGAAGTAATCCTGTTAACAGTCATTTTTAAACTCAACGAGACATCCCAGGGACGTTCCAGAAGGGAATTGCTCCCTCATTTGCACCCCCTCCTTTGACCCCCTTCACATGTCACCAAAAACAGAGCCCACTGGTGGCTTCTGTTTAATGCAAAGTGAGGGGAAAGCAAACAGGTGGGAACCCACAGAATAGAGCCCAGCTCCCGTCCTGTTCTCCCACCGCAGGAAGGCAGGTGGATGTGAATCCCAGTGGGCTCGTGCAAGGCTTCAACATTTTCAAGTCTTGTTTCCAGCGAATCATTTGCTACGACCAAAGCAGGCTTAGGTTCTGGGTCTCACGACTCACGGTCTTCCATCTGAACTTAAAGCACTTCTCACACAGCGCCCAGCTGATGTTTGCAGAGTCACTTCCCTGCTGGACCAGGTGGAGGCAATAGCCGTGTTATCTGTGTTCCTGTCTTGCCAATGGGTTTCAGTGCCAGGCAAGTTCACTACGGATTCAATGAGATCAAAGAATGACAATGAAATGTTCTTGGGGTGAAAGGGTTTATACCCAGCTTTATTCCCATGGTGGCAGGTCAGTCACTAGAATCCTGTCCACACAGAGCGAGTCTGCATGCAGCAAGCCGGTCTCTGCCTCTGGGCCTCTCTGCCCCCACAGCCATCTCAGTTTCTGTCCTCAGCGCTGCCCTCCTGTCTCCAGTCTCTGCTCTCTTGCAGCCGTGCAGCCATGCCACCGTGTCGCACAAGCACTGTGCAGCACCCTTGCCTCATCCCTATTGCCCACACATGTGTAGTGAGTGAGCTAGCTGACCAGGGCCAGATGAGAATCATGGCCATAGGAACCTTCACTTTATCCACAGTTTCCAAAGCATGGCTCAATGTCTGGCCCATCTGGGGTCCTCAGTGTGTACTAGTTCAATGTTAAAAGCATTCTGTGGGCACCACAACACTGCATAGAAACATTAGAATCAGTTGCTTTTAATAGGATTTTTATCTCCATCATCAAAGATTTCCTTTTGATTAACATGAACACAAGCAGACAGGAGACAGTTTTTGAGATGGCAGTCAATCCTATCAAGTCATGGTCCTAAAACAAGAGATTTATTCTTCACCCCTGCACCTGTCCCAGATGGCACACACCCCTGCTCCCGTCCCTATGCTCTGCAGCACCCAATCAGCACTTAACATTTACACATTTACCAATTTTATATTGATTTATACAAATCTCTGATGAATGAATTCTCTCCCACCAGACTATCCAGTTGTGGGGGGCAGCGAGGATTTCTGACTTTGCTCACCAGGGTATGCAAAGACCCAGCTGGAGTCAGGAACCCAGTAGGTACTCAGGGAATATCTGCCAGACGAGTGAGTGAATGGCAGGTGTAGCCATGCAGAAGCAAAGCACTTGCACTGAGATGGGTGGGCAGGAACCGAGGGGGCAGTTTATCCTAAAGCCTTATTTTATAAGTGAGGAGACCCAGAAAGACAGAGTCACTTCCTCAGGATCACAGAGCTGGAATAAGCAGACTTCAGGCCTTTTAAAGCCTGGTACAAAAACATGCACACAGAGAACACTATCCGGGCAGACCGCATTCTATGCAGGATGCACACTAAAGGCCTGCTTCTCTGACTTGAATCTGTCCCTCCGTCTTGGACCCCACTTCACCTCCAAGGAAAGTACGGAAGGAGGGTGGAGGTGTGGCCATGCTACACCAGGAATCAGAGCGAGGAGAAAAATGTGATCAGTTGAAAATGAGCATTATCATGAACCCAGTGATTCCCTGAACCTATTGCAAGGCTGACCTAATCAAATGGTGGGCACAGTGCTGGCCAGCTTGGCCACATGGACGCTCACTGAAGACCATTGGTATCATGCTCTCTCTCTCTCCTCTAGGAGGAAGCTTTTTTGAGGCGAACCTGGAGAATGAAGGAAGTATTTCAGGCAGTGACTCAACATTTCATAGGCAGTTGGAAGGTAAGGTTCCCAGGAGTTCACAACTAGGAAGACCATACATAGCGCAGGGTCTCCAGGTCACATAGCAGCCACTGGGGCACCACTACTGATGCTGTGCGGACATCCCCACAAGGGTCTTGTTATTGCCATCTGTGTGACTCCACCCACCAAGTAGGCGAGTGTATGTATCCAGGGTGTGCCCAGAGAAGCGCATCCACTACCCAGCTGCCAGGCTGTCATGAACTGGAGTATCCTTCTGGATTGGGACACTTGTGCAGTTCATATTAAAATATTCTTATACAGAATGTATAAGATGTATACTGATTAACTTCTTCTTCTTTCTGCCAACATAATAGTCCCTTTAGAGCAGAGGTAAAAGCAAAACACTTCCAGTTTCAAGTAAAACCTTCACCAACACTGAGTTCCCCCAAAGTCCTGGGTCTGGAGAACAGTGAGCCGCCTGCTCCGTGGCCCTGAGGCTTCTGTGTGCTCTGTCCTCGACTGGGTGCTTTCCCGTTCTCAGTCATCCTTGCTGCCTAAAACTTCCCCGTGGTCACCACACAGTGACTCCCTGCCTCTGAAGCCCAGCTCTGAGATCTGCCCAGAGCTCTAGACTCGGATTTCTGAAGCTCAGCCATCAAGACCTGTAGGTCTAGGGGAATCGTAACCTGAGTGTATCCTGGTCAAACTCCTCAGCCTCTTAGGTCCACCAGCAAGGTTATCTTTCCCTCAGCCTCCCTCCCTGCTCCCACCCCATTGATAGCTCTATTTCCATCCTATCCTTTTTTTTTCTGTTCTGAGGCCCATGGCTGAGAACTTAACTACCCCAAACTGTCCTGCATTAATATTAATCCCAGTGACCATCTGGGTCAGTCGGGGTTCTCCAGAGAAATAGAACCGACAGGAAACACACACACACATTTTTTTTCAATTAAGGTATCATTGATACACACTCTTATGAAGGTTTCACATGAAAAACATTGTGGTTACTGCATTCACCCACATTATCAAGTTCCCCCCCCCACACCGCATTGCAGTCACTGTCCAACAGTGCAGTAAGATGCCACAGAGTCACTACTTGCCTTCTCTG